TGTTAGTGATAAACGAGTGAATCGTAAGAAGCAGTTCTCTGTCAAAATGACAGATGAGTTTAGAAATAGTCCCTCATGGCAGACGCGGTCAAAAGCTTTCGTCATATCTATCATGAGGAGAGCAATACACTGTTAGGTAGCGCAGAGCCTGCAAACTCGGTAATTCTCACTAGTTGTTTAGTAGTCGAAAGTTTGTTTCGAAATCCAAATTCCTTCGGTGGTAATGACGTAAGATAAGGTTGCACACGAGAAAGTAATATCCTTTCATAAATTTTTCCAAGCACAGGTAATAAACTGATCGGACGATAATCGTCAGGCTTCAAGTGATCTTTACCAGGCTTAGGGATTAGAATCACTTTAGCACTTTTCTACTTCTTTGGAAAGTAGGAATGAAACATACATGCATTTAAAATGCTAGTCAAATTACTAACAATATTAGGAGACAATTTCTTGATCGCAGTGTTTGTTATTCCATCGTTTCCCGGCGCTTTACGCGGTTTGTGCAACTTCAGCAGGAGTGGCGAATTTTGGAATATTTTTAGCAGAAGGTGAATTAAGACAGTCACGTACACGTAGTAATGTGAGAAGTTTAAAGTTATATAAACTGGCCAGTCATTTGACGTAAACTGCGTTTATAAGTGTGTAGCGAATATATCTGCTTTATTTGAAGTAGCCACTCTTCCATTGCGATAGAGTGGGCGATTTGAGACGTAATTTGACTTATGTTTTTTAGTTACAGTCCAAACAAAGTCATCTCGAATGCTGACTTGTGAAATTTTTTTGTTCCATATCTCTTTCTTATGCAGTTTTACGGCTTTTTTTATATCCTTGTTGAGGGGATTTATCGCCCTTTTGGCGATCAGATCCGACGTGAGGTGAAAAACTTTTCCTAGACAGTTTCGCTGACACATCAGTTGTCGAATATTTCTGGGAAGTCGAAAAAGCACTTCATTTTTGTTGATAGTATCACTTGCTTCTTCTACAGCATTTTGTATTTGATCAGTGATAGAAGAAACAGCAGGGTCGATGCCATTAACACTATTTAAATCACTTAAATCAACTTAGTTTTTATGATGTTTTCGTAAAGTAGCCAATCTGTGACTTTTCTTGTGGAAGTGAGATCATTTTTTAAGATACACAGAATTGCGATGATTGGAAGATGATCAGACAAAAGTTCGTGAACAACTTCTAGCATGATAGGCATTGTAGTTGTAGATAAAGCAATGTCTAAAATATCGGAGTGTTCTAATCCTATCGGACGATAGCTGTACTCGTCATGTGCATAAATTGCAACAGGATGGTTTAAAATGCAATCTTGAAGAATTTTGCCGTTAGAAATGTTACGACGACAGTTCCAAGCAAGCATTTAAATTACCTGCGAGTATTGTAATCCAGCAGACTTTCAGTTAGATTATTTTGTGGTGGATTATATATATATATATATATAAAAAAAAAAAAAAAAAAAAAAAACAACATTAAAATATAAAGTCTTTATACACCGCGAGGGTAATACATACAGTCACAAATTCATTACATGCTTTTACGAGGCACGAAGGTAAATTCCTTTTAACATAAATAATAACACTGCCGGGATGGGAAGTCCTCTCACAGCGATAAATATGAAAATTTGGGATGTTACGCTGATGACACTGTTGTGCGTGCGATTAAGTTATGATCACTGTGTCTATGTCATGATCATACAAAAATTCCTGCTTCTTATGTTGGAGCCCGTTTGAATTCCCTATCACAAAACGTATTACATTTGCATTTTTGAAAATTTATCCATTATTGGATTTTGTAGTCTCCTAAGATGCATTTTTCATATCCTGAGTGAGCTGTTTGAAGATGAGAGGGAGACCAGACTCCTTGATGATAGTAACGAAGCTTTAAATTCATTAAGGATATTTTTTGCCTCCAAAATTGCTTCTGGAGCGAGACCGCTTGCCAGGGCTTGTGAATAGGATTTATTTGTGATGACTCTGCCAGCATAAGGATTAGCTTGTGGAGGAAGCTTTGGATTGGGAAACTTCTCGCATCCACGACAGTTTGCAGTGTGTCCCACTTAGGAGGGATATTTCTGTTCTTGTCGCAGTTATACAACTCATGTGAGATGCCATATCGAACACATCTAGGATCGAGATTGCAGTGATATTGTGTATGGTGAAACCCTTGGCAGCCAACCTTGAAGAACCAAACGCATGCTTATAAACCCTAACAAATCTGTGTCAGCGCCACTCCTCAATTTTAATGACAGAAATACAATTTGCATAACAACGAACACTTATGTTGTAATGACTGAAACAATATTTGGCAGTAATATTTGTTTCCCTTTGAATGTGATAAAAAGTGAGTTATTTTATGGGAGTCAAATGTTTCTTATTGAAACATATTATTTTGGCAGAGAATATCAGTTAGAAATACTTTAAAAATGGTAAACTGTGAACAAGTCATGACAATCATGTCCTATATTAGGTACTTCAATTCCCAAGTTTGAACATCTCAGTTGTTCATTGATTAAACAGACATGTCAGACCATCAAGATTGTGGGTATTCAAATGATTATTCTGAATCAATGAGTTGGCCTGTGTACTAATAGAAAATGAAAAGAATTTATCCCCAAACTTCATATATTTAAAATGCTTCTAACATTGCTTGTTTTATAATTCAGCTAACTTATGCACGATCCTACTAAATTTCCGCTAACTGCGGCTGAGCTGAACACTGGTAGTTAGGTCTGGAGTTTGAATCCAGGCAAAGGAGCTGGCTCCACAGGCATTTTCATGGTTTTCCCTATGGAAACATGTAAATGAGCCAGTTTTCCTTAGAAAGACCTTCGTGATGGCATCCATCCCCTTTAGGCAGATGGTCCTTGTGTGCTTTGCCATTACTAAATAAACAAAACCTAGTAAATTACGAGTAGTATTTTTATACTTTTTAAAATTTCTACTCTGTAACACTGTAATTATAGCAACAAATACAAAATTTTAACTTGGCAACTTTTACATCCATGCACTGAAATTTGAAATAATCTTACCATTTAAATTACTGCAAACTGCTATAAAAATTTATGATTTACAGCAAGATATTTCTGTCCTTGACGATTTTCATTTTAAAATAAAAGAGTCAAACTCTGCTAAAAAGAGAAACTTTTTATTTATAAAATGTAAAAGCAAGAATTTTCTTTTTAAATCATAATTACAATTTTGAGTAAGTTTTACTATAAGGATTAAACAGAATTTTACATTAAATAGACACAAATATTTGCACTTTTTCACAACAAAGAGGATTTATGATGTTTTTAACTAGAAAACATCAAGTTTTTCACATGTATATATTATTGCTTCTCAATTGTGCATCTTTGTATTATACTTTTTACAACATATTACAAGGCAAATAACTTTTGATACTAATCAAAATATATAGTAAATTGATTCTATTTAACCCCTTAAGTTCAGTTGAGATGTTTAGTGACAGCTGGTCATCAATTCACAGCCAGTGCTGTTACACATATTTTGCCTTCAAATGGCCTCCAGACAACTGCAATTTATTATATTTAAAAGGTAATGTTCTATTTATATGAAAAATATCAGATATGATAATTTAAAAAAAGAAGGTCAGCTCATTTGTTTCAGAGTTACATAATTTATATACATGTATAGGAAAAAGTACAGATAGGTAGTGGTTATAACATTTATATATTTGGTATGTAAAATATGTTTAATGTTAATAACCAAGAAAACTCTTTCATAATGAATTACATATTAAATTCGTTGGCACTGTACGGAAGCACACTAATTTCAGCAATGCTTAAGAGGCTAAAGGTTCAATGGAAAGTGTTAAGCTACATTTTCCATAAAGTAAATAATTTATAATTAAATTTTAAAGGATTCATACTTTTCCTAGCTGTGAATAAAGCACTTTCAAGCACCCTTGGAAAGAAACATTAATATATTTATAACAGAAGTATCAGAAAATTATTTTTATGGTAAATTGGGATAAACTATTACTTCATAAAATGTGCTGGCTGATATTTGAAAAATACAACTACTTTTTCAAAGAACTTCACTTTTTTTTTTCTCAATTTCATTTATAAAACTTGGAATGGCTAAAGAGGATCACCAACAATATAAAATAGGAAAGCTGTGTTACCTGAGTGATATTATTTTAATAATTTCTAAGGGTTTGCAAATAAAGCAAAGAAGGCACAGAAGTGTGAATGGATGAAAACAAAAATGGCAAAGGACACAATTTATTTCAATAAATTTTATCAGACTAAGAAATTCTTGATGCAGCAATTCAAGAATGGCAAAGAGGAAACTGAAGCAAAGCCTAAACAGAACAATGGAATGTTGTATTTCGGTGAGTTATCAGATTATGTGAATGAAAAACTAAGTTTAAATTTGTAACATCATAGCTTTTTGTGCAACATTTGATTACCTGAAAGAATATTGATATAGGTTATTTTTTTTAGAGGGGGACTCTTATGAGGTAATGAAAAATCTGTAAATTTAATTCTTATTTTAATTAAATTCATCCATTTAACATTTCTAAAGAATTCAGATTTATAAGGCTACTTTTAAATTATCTGTGTATATTAACAAAGAGTTAGTGTAATTTTGCTGGGATCTTTAAAAGGGATTAAAAAAAGGTAGTTTCACATTAAATATATTACCATGTTTTCATTTGTTTATATATATATTTTTTTATTGAAAGGCATATAATGATATGTAAATTCAAAAACTGATTTGATGTATTTTTTCCCTTCAAAACAACAAAAGTATATAATTTTTCGTTATCAATTTTATTTATTTATTTATAAAATTAATATATGCTTCTTCAAATAATTTTAGATAGATAGCCATCATGTGCTTTGCCACAAATAATTAACAACACACAAATTTAATAAATTATTTTAATAAAGTAAAACAATTTATTTAAATAAATGTTAAAAATTTCTCCTTTTAATCATTCCTCTTTTCATTTGTGATAATTTAAAAATTGAATTTTAAACATTTGAATGCCTACAAATTTAGCACAGAGTATTATTTTAAATTGCAAATCTTTATTACATCTATTGACATTAAATTAATCAAAACATTTATTTTAATATAAAGCAAATTTATTGCAATCCCTTAAAATACAATAGATACATTTTACGCAGAAGTCCAGTTTCTATTTTATTAACTGTTCATAAAATGCTAATTAACATAACAGTATGGAGAAATATTTATTTCTAAATCTATATATTAATAAGAAATTAATATGTAACAAGTATGCATAATTATGGCACTTTGCATATCAATTTCAATACCTTGTAATACAGGTTGAATATTACTTACTTATTTATATATATTGTATGCAATTAAACATATTTTAATATTCCATGAATGAATTAATTATTTCATGCTTGAATTTTACTGCATTACCTAACAAAAGCTTACATATACAATATATCAATAGTGGTAGCAATAATTTTTATATTATTTACAAAATTTGTTTATTTCTTTCCTTTTTACTGATGCATGATATATATTTTGAAGCACTAAATTGATAAAAATTACAGAATAAAATGCTGTATAAAGAAGAGTTATATAGCATCCTCCCCCCCCCAAAATCTCAATAAATGCATCATGTTTCTCTTTACATAACTAAATTTTTTCCCTTTTATTGAGCACAGTGAAAGTAAGTGAATCTTGATTACTGGAATAAATATGTAAGGAAGACAAAAAGCAAAAATCTAATTAAAAGAAACTAAACTGTTCTTAAATTTTAAATACATATATATTATTACACATACACAGTAATTTTAACAGTAATGTAAAAAAAAGTGAAGGAATATTTTTAATTAATGCACTCTAGTTTAAGTACAATAGCTTATTCTGGTTTTGAGACAGTCATTCACAAACTGAACTGATGCCACAGTTATAGAAAACATCTAGGTGCCATAATCAAGGATTCACTCTCTACACGTGCATCTTTTGTTAAATATACTGCTTATTAAACAAATAGAGGCACTTACACAATTATTCTTCACATAAAATGCTTTGTTTGATACATGCTGAAAACTTGCACATCCCTGTAGTACTTAAGCTTAGGTTAATATGTATTTACACAATTTAATGGCACTACATAATATCTGAATCAATATTTTCATTTAATTATAGCTCTAGAAAGTTATAAAAAGTAATTACAACTCTTGGGAGTCAAACACAGAATATAACATTAACATATTTTATCTTTTCAACGTTTTGGCATAACAGTATTAACTTACATTGCATATATCAGTTGTACATACACCACTGCAAATGAGTGGTAGCAACTGGTCAAGAAGTAGTAAGAACTGATGCTTTTTCCAAAAATGTTCATTTTCATGGTTTGCAGAGTCTTTTGAAGGCATTGCAAAAAAGTTCCATGAAAGTGACATGTTTTCTAAAGTCAAGTGTATACAGTAGATTCTGAGTCATCTCTTATGTGGCCATCTAGGAGTATTGCCTTCACTATGGCTAAGTGTTTCATAACCTGCTGCTTCTCTTCGTTTTCGTTGTTCTATTCCAGCGGCCACATAAGAGAACACACACAAAACTGCATAACAAATCTGGTCAGCCTAGAAAATGTACACAGTTTTGAAGTCACATTGTTGATTATTTATTAAGAACAGATTACATACAAACTTTAAAAATATGTGGTAATTATTATTTCACCAATTACTAATATTTTAATCAAATTGGATAAATATATTGAAAACAGAATTATGTAAAAGTGCTATTTTTAGTATATAATCTTTAAAACAAACTGAAATACAACTCTTAATATTCCTAACTTTATTGAGGCAATTTAGTTTTATCTTATAATGAATTCATAATAATTCCTAAAATATACACATTGAAAACTTCACACTAGCTATATAAATAAATTGAAAAATAAAAAATTATAAAATATATAACTTCAGCTGCAGTCAAACGAATGCAAAAAAGGAGAAAATAAAGCTACTCATATACAAATAAGCAACATGAGCTTAATCAAGAAATGTTTGCATTATTATTAAATGCATACAGTTTTTACAAATAACCTATGATTTATTATTTATATAATTAATTAATAGTATTAAAATTATATATATTTAACGGACATAAATATTTAAAAATCTGCATATATAAATAAATGATATTGTTATATTAAATAATTAATGAATCATTTAGAAAGAGAAGAAAGCTTTATTTTGCAAATGTATTGTGTAAAGCGAAACAGTAGTTATGTAATATGATGAATTTTAGACATTTGATTTAGGCTTAATTAGTACGAAAAATTTTTTAGTTGCAAATAATTTGATATTTGATAAATTGGATGTGAAATGTAAAAGTACTTCAGTTATTAGAGAGACAAATATTTTCTTGCATTAAGTATCTAAAAATGATTTAATATTCTCAAGATGCAGTAATTTCAAGAATAAACATATATTGGAAAAATCTGGCATAATCAAGCTACAGGTTTCTAGAATGACAAAATGTTATTATTTGCATCACCAAACAAATGCATAAAAATGGTGGGACAGAATCTAGAGATCACTAAAATAATTATTACTAAACTATTTATAATATATCAAATATAATTAGAAAAAACAAACGACTACATACTGAGGTCCCTATTACTATTAAAAACAATTATTTATTATGATAATGTTGTAAATGTTCATAAAATTAGCAATTAGGTGTATCTATCATAAATGTATTTTAAACCTTATCAATTATATAAATTATTCAAATGTAAAAATTTCAAATTACGAAGTGCATTTTTTGACTTTTAAATGGCTCAATTTTTTAAGTAAGTTGAGACTAATTAAATCTGAAAGACAAAGAAAGATCCTATGCTTTGCTGAATAACAGCACTTTGAGAAGTAGAGCAAGGCCACATGAAAGAAAAATTGAAGATGTTTAATGCAATGGCAGCACTTATTTGGATAGCAAATTCATGGTAACGTAACTTAAGAAACTAAAAATTTTGGAAATATTTTTAGATGTTTGTGGATTGAATGCATGTTTAAAAGACAAATGAATTTTATATGTTCACTCTTCCATATATTTTAATTATATTTCACGCTATCTAATGTCACAGAATCAGATAAAAGTCGTAGTTTCAAAAACAGAAATCCATCAACATAAGAAGGGCCATTTTACTGCAGCTATAATATAATTACTGACTTTTTTTTTTTTTTTTTTTTTTTTATTGCAGACATTCTAAGAATATAGCTACAAGCTTAAACATATTTACATAGCTTAAACCTCCTTAACTGCCCAGCAGCTAAATATAAGGTTATGCATAATTTCAGGCAAACTTACATATTGCATGAAATTATTCTGTTGAAAAGAAACAGCACAATAGCACACCATCACAAAGTATTATGAAATCATATTCATGTTAAACTTTGCATGTGAAGATTTATAATTAATCCTTAATGATAACAGCCTAAAGCAGTTTCTGATTACATTTATTGTTTGCACAAAAAGCCCAAAAATAATGTTTGTGATGTTTTCAAATACACATCTGCATGATAATGTTTCCACGAAAGCATGTGTGTTTTTGGAAATATTATCACATAGTAATAACATTTCCAAAAATGCACAGAATACATACACCTCCTTTTTTTAAAATCTTAGAAGGTAACACTAGTATTTGTAACTAGTACCAGTAAAACACAAGAAAACATAAATAAAAATGCATTATAAAAACATTAAAGCATAGAAACAAAATAGCTACTTTTCAAGCAACAAAAGACACGAACATGTGCAAACACAGCATGTGCAAAGATTTTGAATGTGCAACAGTGGCAGGGTATCACAAGGGGCATCCAGTTGGACGTTGAGCCACTTGGACAGCAAGAATACGCAGGATTGCTACTATAATTTCTGCAGCCTGTATGAAAAATTTGGAGGATTAAGTTTTATCTAAAAAAGCTGCAATGCATATCTAAAAGCTCAAAAACTTTAAAAAAAAAAAAAAAAAAAAAAAAAAAAAAAAAAAACTTAATTTAAAATTAATTTTGAGTTGACTTCTAATCATTTAATCATTTTAAAATTTCAGAAAATAGAAATTTTCCTTTTTCTTCTACAAGCTAAAAATCACATTCTTACAAATTATCATTAAAATGGTAATGCTAGTAGAAGAAATCTATTCAGATTGCAAACTCTTAATGCAGTGCATTTAATGCTTTAGATTACACGCTTTGAAGAACTTAACATTATTACTTGCATACAGAAAAAAAAAAAAAAAAAAAAAAAAAAAAAAAAAAAAAAAAAAAAAAAAAAGAAAAAAAAACATGCAAATGTAAAGCATCCAGTGATATAAATACAAAATCTAGAATGCAAGGCCAAACAATATATTGAGTTATACCTAACAAGCATGCAAACACAGTAAAAATGAATTCTGATCAAAGTGAACTATTCATGTTTTTCAAGAGAAAATATTTTTATATTTAAAATATGTTCTTAACTGATTGTATTAAATGATATATACTTATTTGTAGTTTATTTTACCCATTCTTTGTTTAAATATCAGGATACAGCTGTATAAAGCAGAAAACATATTTTACAAAATTCAATCATATGGCATTAATTTCACTAAAAGGCTTAATCTATGCTACGAGCACATTTGACCATCCTTGCTACCAAAATAAACCCACTGGAACTTTAGCATGCATTATGTAATATTTATTAACATGCAATAGCTAGTTACTATTACTATGCAATATCTAGTTACTGGGGGGGGGAGCTAATTGTAAATTTTGCACTGTCATGCTCAAAAAAATTTTAAAAATTACATTTAAAAGCTTCTTACTTTAAAGAAATATGCAAATTTGATTAGTTAATACAATTAAAATTAGTTTGAAAAATATACAAAATTAAATTTTTAAAAATAAGTTATTGAAATGACTGAATTTTTTTTGGATTCAGCTTATAGTTTCTTAAAAGAAATTAAGGAACAATTAACTTTTGCCATTAACCACAGGAGTAAAACAGCATGATATTTAGTCTTATTTAGTTAAGAATACGTCTTATCCTGTATTTTGCCAAAAAATGCATGTTAGCAAAATATTATACATATATAATATAGAATATGTATATATATATATATATTATATATATATACATAACTCAAAGCTAGTTTTATATATATATAAAACCAGTGCCCGCTAAAGTCTGGTACCATCCGATTAACTGCTAAATGGCTATGGGTATAGTAATAAAATTCATGTCTAGGTATAGTAAAGTGGCTATGCACTACTAGATGAGACAGCTTTCAGCACCACCTGGTGGAAAACAGCCAAGTTAGCATCCCTATTGCAAAAACGATACAAGATAAGAAGACAAAGTGAATTACAAAGTTGTAGAGCATCATCTATTTAGTAGGAAAAGACATCTTGTGGACATAAATGTTAAGAACGGAGCGTTTTAAATGTGCATTTGTTTGTTCGCAATTTCTGAAACTGTGACATCAAGAAACGATCTTAGAAACAAAGAAAAACAACTAGTTATCAGAAGCTACATTTATTTTTGATGTTTTTAACTTCTCTCCATTAGCTGAAATACACATCTGAACCCTTGTTAGAATTTCATGTTGCACGCTGTAGCATAACGCGTGACACGTTTGTAAGCATCTGTAATACGTCATTGAAGGTCCTGCAATGTTTGTGGAGGGGTTGCATACACCAGCTGTTTGAGGTATCTGCACAGGAAAATGTCCACTGGAGTGAGGTCAGGTGAATGTGGAGGTCACTCTTCGAAACCACCTTATCCGATTATTTACTCTCCGAATTCCTCCATCAGGTACTGCTTCACTTGCGACGTCATGTCGGAACCATCCATTTGGGAGTTGGAGCAACAGCAGGTTCTCAACAAAATTCTATATTACGTCTTGCAGAAGTTCTAAATATTGTGCAGTCATTAATGTACTTTGATAAAATATTGAGCCGATTAGCCTGTTATTATAAATTCCACACCAAACATTAATTGAAAACTGATGATGTCAAACTTCGACAGAACATGATGGATTTTCCAGTGCCCAGTAATGGGTATTCTGCCTATTGTACATTTCATCCTGTAAAAAGCATGCCTCATCTGTCAACACTCTTGGCAGGTGCCAAGAATGTTGGTTGGACATCTATCTGGTTCATGATGAAGTTGCACCATGTCTCTCAGCATCCCCGTCCAGTACTGCCTGATTAGGTGTTGGTCGGTATGGATGAGCACCTAATTCATTTAGGATTTTCCAAAAGTGACATTTTCAGAGACCACACTTTTAACTTATCTCTCTTGTGCTTCCATTTGGATATGTGAGGCCATATGATAAAACATCTTCCAGTTGTACTTTCCGCCCTACTTTAGCTGGTCTGCCAGATAGTCACTCAACCTATCTCCCTTAAATGTTTCACAATCTGTAGGATGGTTTTGTACGAAGGATACAGGCCTGCATGAAAACGTTGCTAATGCAACCGCGCTGCCGATCGTTCATTACGTTCACATTCACCTTAAGTAGAACCATCTCACAATAATCATTTTTTGAAAATCGCTCCATGACCAAAAGCTTCAATATCCATTTTATAGCTGTCTC